GTGTTTAAAGTGAATTTTCCAAATAGTATATTAATATACAAAACGGATCCTACCTCTAATATGATCTTACCTGGTCATTCCTTATTTGATAGAACTTGGTATTTCTTGGGATTGATGAAGAATCTGGGAAATAATCAATATAACCTTATAAATACAAACGAATACTGAAGCGTAGTAATATTCGTATTTAGGTTATTGAAAAGGGAAAAGCTAAAGTTAGACGAGGAGCTAACTTACCCGAAAGTATTATACCTCAAATACATGAGAGAATGGTTACTTTCGTGATCATAATTTTAATACAAGTAATTATTAAAAGTATGCCTTATATGTGAGCACGTAGTTACTTTCATAAGCATGATTTTAAGAAAAGTATTTAATATCAGTTAAATTCTTATATATGAACTAAATGCTTATTATCTAGAATATGTGTTAAATGTATATTTGGTAATACTACATGACATATACTTTATGTGCCAGAATTGGTTATATATGTGTTAAGTGTATATTTGAAAATACTACATGACAATCTTAATAAAAGTATGATTGCTAAAAGATTAAATGACTATTGAATACTTACTAATTGTATTATGTGCAAAATCTGCACCCTATATTATGATATTGTTTCATGAACAAGTAAAGTATTTTGGAAGTGATTTCAAGTATTGTAATATTGTCTAGTTATAAACAAAGGGTTGCAAAGGATACTTAGTTTGAAGTAAGTTGAATAAGTGAATAGTCTCATTCCAGGGTAAGATGTGAGATTAAAATGAAGTGTAGTAGTCCTCCTCTTTCTAGACATCCATAAATGGTTGGTCTGTGTCAGAAAACATGTGTGTATGTTCTAGCACCCCGTTTTGGATCATTCTGTAATTCAGGGCCATAGGCCGAAAGTCGATTGTGTAAAGGATTTGGGCCTTAAGGAGGTGAAGTTTAGCCCTGGTAAAAGGAGGTAATGATGGTTACGAGATATTAACCTTTGTATTGTGTTTTTGGCCGAAGGGTAAAAAGGGAAAATCATGTACCAGGATTTTTCATGAAATATGGATTTTTGTTCAAAACTTTTTTACTCCAAGATATCTATATAATATTGTCGGGCTCTTTAATACCTTTCTGTGGATTTAAAGATCGTCAAAATCGAAGTTAAAACAAATAAGTTACAACCGTTTGAAGTTAGCACGATTTTGGTTTAAGTCGTGTACGCTGGGCGTACTAGGTAAGGAGGATCACAGGGTATCAGCCTGGTACGTTGGGCGTACTAGGTGTATGTTGGGCATACGCGATCATACCCCAAACCCTAATTTGAGGGTTTTGAACCCTATTTAAGCTCTTTAACTTCCCCAAACCCTTACCATTCTCAGCCTCCACCTCTCCAACGTCCTCGCATTAAACCCTAACCCTAGTTTGAACCTTATGAACTAAAGAAGGTATTTTAAGTACTTTGGAGTGTGCTTGGCGCATCTTGGAGAAGAAGGAACTCATTGAAGAAGTATTGGTTGCATTGGAGCTTGTAGATCCAGACGTTGTTCACCTTGATCTTTCTTCTAGAGGTATAAAGCTTGAATCTTGATGATGCATTTGTTAGATCTAAGCTAGTTTTGGGTGTTATGAGCTTTTGGTCACTTTAGTGCATAAACTTTAGATCTTGAAAGCTTGTGACCTTGTAATGGATAAATTTGGAAACTTTATCCATCTAAACATCATATTGGTTCAAATATAAAGGTTGGAAACTTGGACTTAATGGATTAAGTTGAAAAAGATACACTTTTGGTGCATTTGAGACTTAAAGACTAGATCTTGGTGGCTTGGACCATTCTAATGGATAAAGTTGGAAACTTTATCTATTATGGAGCTATTAGGAACCATAAAAATGTGATTTTGCTCCTTGTAGCCCTTCCATACAAGAGTGATGATATCTTAATGGATAAATAAGCTAGGGTTTTGGCTTTTGGACCTTTTCTAGACATGGAAAGTCATAAAAGTGGGAACTATATAACTTAGTTTCCTGAGTTTGTTGAGAACATTAGACTTGTGAGAACATTACTTGTAACCTAGGTTCATATCTCTAATGGAATAGCATAAAGCTCAAATTAAGGGATTCCTTTGATTTGCGATGCTATACCCCAGATATATCGCTCAATCTTCTTGTACTCTGGGTTACAAGTGCCGGACACATCACCGCAACATCATTGAATCTAGCGGTATAAGCATTTATCTCTGAACCCTTCATGTTTAGGGTCCACAATTCTTGTTCCATCTTATGTATTTCCTCCCTAGGACAATACTCCTCTACTAGCATCATCTTTAGCTCTTTCCATTTCATGGGATTTGCAGCATCAATTCCCATTGTATTTACATGGCTGTTCCACCATGTAAGTGTTGCATTAGCGAAGGTACACGCAGCAAATCGTACCTTACAATCATTTGGACAGAAGCTTATTTGAAATACTGATTTTGTCTTTTCATTCCACCGGGTTTTAATGACAATTAAAAGTACAATGATATAATTAGGTTTGTATGTAGACCATAGGATGTTGTAGTATACTAATTTGGTTGACAATTAAAAGTAATTAAAGACCGACTGTGAGTGAAAACAACTATGAAGAATTTTTATTCCAAGTCTAAATAGAGGCTTGATAGCAATTCGCTAAAACAATAGCTTGTAATTTCACTTTTACCCCTCCTTAGTTTCCTGAGTTTGTTGAGAACATTAGACTTGTGAGAACATTAGATGTATGAGATTTCTTAACAAATTAGCTTTAAAATTACCTTTACAAAATTCAAAAGCTATGGGATTGTGAAGATCTTCTACACTGATGGAAATATATTTGTAATAACACCCCCACAAAAGCACCATATTCAAAAGGGCATATGATAATTTGAAAACGCACATCAAGAATGAAAGGCAATCCAATTGGGACTCATTTTGTGAGGTATCCCACTTTGAGATAGTAGAAGATTTTCTGCCCTGTACCTGTTGAGAAGTAAGCCAATATTGCAACATTCGACCATTCATGCATAAAAAGAAACATAAAGTTGACATTAGCATCACACAAGCATTCATACTTTCTTTTTTGTTTTGTCCACATATATACACACATACATAATTATCCTCGTCTTCAATTTGATTATGAACCAATCAACACATAAAGATACATGAAAATAATCCACAAAACTAAGCTAAAATAATCATTTTTAAAGTTCAAAGCGGTAAACTCACCTTCCTAAAGCACCAAAAATAAGTAAAAATGCAATTCAAATGACAATACGTTTCAGAAAAAACCATGGTTGGCAGTCGGAAGGTCTTTTCATGGAGAGACTAACACACACATGGTTTCACTTATTGTAGTTTCTGAATTTGAAAGTATACCATGTAAATAATATTGATATAGTTAAAAATGACCAAATTACCCCTCCTTACCTTATTCAATTTATGTATACACCTATGCTACAATGCTTAAACTGCACAAATAAAGCATCATATGAATAAAGATAATGAAATAATAAAATGAAAATATGAAAAATATAGCATGAAAAGCTAACCTTTGTTTGATGTTGTTAAAAACATGCTTACAACCTACAATATATAACCCAAAGTCAAATATAATCCAAAACATATTAAAATTAGTTCTTTATAATTAAACCAGGATTTTACCTTTGGTTGTGTGTAGTCTCGCAAACAATCCACAACTTAGATCGAGAGTCAAATTTCATCTACTTAGATAGAGGGAGAGACCGAGGATATGATTGAAATATGATCCAAGTACAGAAACATGAGGCTACCGTACTAACTTTTTACAAAATTACCCTCATTTATTTTACTCACCTTAGATCTATTCTGTAACTGGATCTCATGGTGCTCATATCTATCCCTACATCTTTGAAACAGTACCTGTCAAGAAACTGGAATTGTTAGGAAAAAACACATAATCTTATACTCCTTGTTACATAATGTTCCTCAATACATTAGTGGTTTGTTTCTACCTGTATAGAAAGCATACCTGGTAAAAAGCGTAGATGAAGAAATCCTAGGAATAGAGAGGATGATGAAGAAAGTGTCCCTTTTTTCTCTTACAGTTCCAGATCAACGTGAGTGGAGAATGATCTGATATTGGTGGTGACTAGTTTCTCAGAAGCAACAGGTGATGGATGCAATTAAAAAAGAAACGCTAACCTGAAGAGGCTTTTTTATCCGGAAGCAACAGGTGATGGAGGCTTTTTTATCCAAGTTGTCTGTTTTAGCTTGGATCATTTCTTTTTTTAAATCCTATTCATATAATTGTTTAAAATTAAAACAAATGAGCTGTGAATAGCAAAACAGGGGACACATTTCCAAAACCAAAAAGTAATTTGTTTTGTGCAACCTTTTGAGTTCTAATTTTGCCTTTCTTCTTAGCAACACACTTTTCTATTGATTCCTTCCGAGATATATGAAGTTCCTTTACAAGTTTATTCATTAGGATCTTATTTTGTTCTCTTACTCTAATAGTAAAATAAAAGATATCAAATTGAATCATATATTATTTACAACCTACACATGTTGATGAAGACAAGAGAATATGTTACCTGATACGACATCAAATGTAGGAACAGTGGCGAGGGCGAGTGTGAAGGATAAAGTTAGCCATTTTGAGGTTTCAGTAGAGCTTGTCATTGACACCATGAACACATACATGCATGTGTTTCTGTGTGTTTTTTGAGGGGTGACTATGTAAAAGGATAAAAATTGACATACATTAGCCCAACTTCAACCAGCTTTTGTGCACAAGAGATCTTCTCATTCATTGCAACCCACATCAATGGAGTCTATCTCGCAGCCAACATCAACCAAATTACACAAAATCAGTAGAAAAATAAGAAGGTGGGAATTAAGAAAATCACCCAATTTCCATAATATCATGAACCATATATACATCGCATCTGTTTCATGAAATTGACATAAAAAATTTGAATTATAATTAAAATAGACTACTGAAACACACCTTTTTATAGGGATTGACTAACTAATCGTCCAAAACCATAGAAATAATCTGAACAAAATCCACACATTGAATGAAAAATTCAACAAATCAATCAAGGGAAAACAAAAAAAAAAGTAAGAACATAAATAAATTCTTGAACTACACACCTCGATCCGGCCATTGGAAGAAGCTATGTGAAGTGCAGAATGACGACCATTGCCATAGAGAGCAGCAAGAGCATGAAAAATTCGATCTTGCCAAACAGGGGAAGTGTTTAATATATCCCATAAACTGTATGCATCTTTGAGGTTGTACATCGCCATAGAAGCTTTAGATGGGCCCATCGTGGCCCCTTCCGTTGTTGGAAATCCGGTTGCAGATGATGAACTAACGGCCGGCCGGCGAGATCTTCGAGAATAAGAACTAAAAGCTCCAAACCCAGATCGCTGTGGTTTGCTAAGAATCGAACGAAAAGGTGGTTTGCTAACAATCTAACGGTGACCTATCAGTGGTTGATCGTGGCGGCGGGATAGGGTTAGGGCTACTCGTCTTGACAGAAGGTAGAAGTGGCGGACAGCGGTGACGGAAACGGTGGACTTCCAGGGTGTCGATTGCATCTTTGGTGGAGATAGGTGGTGGTGTGCTGCTTGTGTGTGATGTTGCCGGAGTCAGGGAAGAACACCTGACGTCGTAGGGCTGAAGAGATAAACAGAGATGGATGAGATTTGGTTTGATGGCAGCTGTGTAGAGGAGATTAGGGTAACAATAAGGTAACACCGTGTAATAGGTATACGATGTGATTATAAGCTTAATGTTATTGTACATGAGGGAATACCTATTGTACCTCTTAATTTTCAAGAAATAGGTAATATGCTTAATAATATATATATATATATATATATATATATATATATATATATATATATATATATATATATATATATATGGAAAAGTGAATATACCCTTAAGGGTATATAAGCTTAGGTACCCAAACACACCATAATGTTTTTAAACTTCAACCTCTAACTTGATTTACTTTCAATATTTTCGAAATTTCATTATTATCTTACTCTTACATCACATCTTTTTGCCGACCACCTACTAGGCTATATATATATTGTAATTGAAAATGAAAATTATGTAAGAGAAAGATAAATGTGTAATTTATAAAAAACATGGAAGTAAACCAAGTTAGAAGCTAAATTATAAGAACATTGGATAATTAGAATGTATTATATGATACAAAACGAGGTGGTATTGTGAATTTGGGTACCTATGCTTATATACCCTTAAGGGTATATTCACTTTTCCCATATATATATATATATATATATATATATATATATATATATATATATATGGCGTATGTTATATCTATATTGTTTGGTAACGTTGGTTTTGCAGGATTACGATATATGAGTTATTATCATAATAATATTATGGGATTGAAAACCCTATGTGTCCTACCAAATTTCCAAACCCGACCCACTCAAATTATATGCATCACAGGTAGTGGTACTAAGACTATTGGAACTTGATTAGGATGTTGAGTGGATCAGAGACAACTTGCAATAGTATTCAGAATCGATAAGTCTTTACGCTGTAAATCATGTTATGTATTAATTATGACATTCTTAGGGTTTTGTTATTTTGAAACCACATTTGTACTCAAAGTGTTTTAATATACTAGAATTTTCCGTAAACAAAGTCAACGTGTTTTGAAAGCATAAAAAAAAGTTTTTTTCGGTTCTGGAAAATAGGGGATGTCACAGAAACTATTTATCTCAAATAGCCTCCAGGTTTTGTACATAAAAAAATTCGAATCATTTTTATATCCTAGATAAAACTTGTTATGGAATTAAACAAGCTTCTCATGCATGGTATAAAACTCTTACTAAATTTCTTAAAATGTCTAAATTTAAACAAGGTTCGCTTCCTACTTTATTTTGAAAGAAATTTAATGATCATATAATGTTGGTTGAAATATATGTTGTTTACATTATTTTTGGTTATACAGATCCAATCCTATGGATAGAGTTTGAGGAAGTCATGAAAACTAGATTTAAGATGAGCATGATGGGAAAATTGAATTTTCTTTATTGTTTTTAATATTTATGAAATCCAGAATGAATCTTTATTAACCATGAAACTTACAAAAAAAACTTTTGTAAGTCCCTAAATCTGGAACCAACTAGTGATCAAACACACAATCAAGCTGTAATCAATAAGGATAAGAAGGAGTAGAAGAAAGATCAATCCAACAATGCACACGTTCTATTAGGGTCGTAAACGTCTGGTACACTTGGATAACACACACATGCAACTGTCATACATCTGACACGCTATTTATAAGGGACCAAGACCGAGAACACGTTCACGGCCGTGAACACCCATACAGCCGCAAACACACAACCGTACACCCATACATTACATGACCAAACCCTATCAAGACCTATACAGATTGATGCCTAGCTCAAACCAACAAAATATGACCTAACAGTCTCCCCCTTGGTTTGAGGCTAGCATGAATTTAGTCTTTCTCGACGACCAACACGTCCGATCTTCCCATTGCACCCAGCCACATCTTTTTCTCGATAATCTCTGCAATCACGCTTGTGAACTCCTTAGCAACAGCCTAAAAAATCTCTTCATGGCATAAAATTTGATGGCGAGGCAAGGTGCAAATATTGGCAGGGGCACTTTGAGAGGTCTCGACTGCACCTGGTTCTTCGACAGATGTTTTGAATTTCTCGCCAAATTCTGCTATAAGTTTGTTCTTCAGGTCGAAGTAACCGGTGGTCACGGCTCCAAGGTTGAGCTGTAGATCAGAGATTTGTTTTGATTTTTTGAATTTTCTTCCTCAAGCTCGGAAACTCGAATGTCGCGATTTCCAATCAAAACATCATTTTCAATGATCTTCTAATTTAATATTCCAATCTCTGCTCTAAGTTATGAAATCGATGGGTCCTCTTCCTCTGAACTTCCTTCACCAATAAATATCCCTTCGCCTCGGGGTGAAGGGTCTGAATCTTGTTGGACCAAAAACCTGGCAAGCCTCTCGGAAGCAGCATCATGCGCAGTTTGTGGTGGAGAGGAACCCCTAGGAGCTGAAGAGTTCCCGGCTTCATAAGAAGATCGAACAACACTTGGACCTTCTTTCACAACTTGACTTTCTTCATGGGTCGGTTGGGTTGGTGTTGCAGTTGCAGAAGCTTGTTGGACAGGCGGCGCTTGTTCCCTTATCAGTACTCCTGGCCTTGGGTCGGCTCTTCTCCTTTTGATCGGAGGCTGGGAGGCGTGTGTCAAAATGGGATCACTTTCAGATGGCAAGGATGTTGGAATAGCAACTGGAAGGGGAGGAATCATTGAAGTTGTATCCATATCAGTTGAAGGGTTGGCCATCTAAGTAGAAGTTGGAGGCGTTGTCTTGAGAACATCATCAACTCCCTCTGTCTCTGTTGCAATTTGTGCAACGTCATTGAGATTGTCAAAGAAAACATCGAGGTCTTCACTGCTTAGCCTTATATCATGACTTTGCTCAAGACCGAAGAATAAGTCATCATTATCATAACCATAAAGATCACCACCAAGATCCATATTCTCTTCATCATCATCATCATCTACCATATTATCCATCAACCCTCTCTCAAAATCACTTTCATCAACATCTTCTGCATCTTCATCTTCATTGTCCTCTTCATTTGTAACAGGCACATGCTCCTCGGCAACGATAGCAACTGGAGGAACAGGCTTTTCTTCATGTTCTAAAGCAGTAATAACCTCGTCTTCAGTTTCTTCATCATCTGAGGATTCTTCAGACTCAGTTGCATCACTAACTTCTGCGAACTGACCAAACTTCACCAATGGAAATTTTCCCTCAAACATAAACTTTCCCTTTCGATTCTGCTTCATGAGACCAAAAGAGTTGGAACCAAGAGACTTCAGATCTAAGGTTTCTCCTTTTCTTTCAAGCTCCGGATATTTGTTGTCGAATATCATTTGTAGAAACCTTGGGAACATCAAAAATCTATCCTTCCTCTTTCCTTCCATGTTGCCTATCATTTCGTTCAGGATGTATCTTGAGAAGTTGAAATCGAGACCCACAGCGAGAGTAGCGAGAGTAGCGAGAGCAGCAATAGCACCCGTGTTGAGTAATGAGATCTCGTCAGCACCAGCTCTCCTTCCTTAGATGCAGCTCACGAAAACATGAACAAGAAACCTCCAATAAGGTGGCAAGAACTTCTTAATGGTGGGAGGAAACACTCCCTCATAGCCCATTCATTCAATGATTTCCTCAGTCTGTTCCATGAAGATCTCTGTTGGAAACCCTGGTTGGTCATTGATCTGTAACACTTCACGTATGGTTTGCTCAGTCACCATGATCTTCTTTCCATTGACAGCTGATTCTACTGAGTCTGCACCATCGTCTCTTCTGTGTACAACCGCCTTGTTCCAAAACTTCTTTACAAGGTCTTGATAAATGATTGGACTTGATGTGAAGGCGTAAGCAAGGCAACATATCTTGAGTCCATGAATCATGGACTTGAAATCATTATGTGCAGCTGGTGGATCCAACAAGAAGGTTGCAATGTTGTGATTGTCTGAAAACCTCAATTCTGCCATTTTGATCTGCACCAACCGAGCCAAGTGAGAAAATAAATGATTTATTCAATTAACAGATAAGTTTTCTCAATTATCAATTAGTTAGGCTTTAATTTTGAATTTAACTGAATAAAGAATGTGTTTATGTCCAAAAGAGGGTTCACGGCCGCAAACAGCTTAACGGTCGTGAACTGTTCAACGGCCGTAAACGCTTCAACAGTTCCGAAAAAACGATTTTGATCCAATAGACCCTCAAAATGCAGTCGATTTGTATGATAAACGCTTGTATTGAGTTTGCATTTGATGTACCTACAGGATTTAGCAAGCAAATTCGAATGAAAAACACAGATTTGTGATGAATCGAGAAATGTGAGAGAGATAATCCGGATGAAGGCTTCACCGCCGTAAACGAAAAAATGAGGGTAAAAGGGATTTCAGCCGAGAATCCTTCTATTTATACCTGGACCATTCACGGCTCAAAGCCCATGGACTGCAAACCCAAGAAGCTTCAAATCTAAGCCCAATACTTCAATTTAATTAAAAATAAAACATTTTGAAGACTTTAAAAATTAAAATTAAAATAAAATAAAATCTAAAAAATTTAAACTAAACTATTTTTTTTTAATTTTTGATTTTTAGAAAAATAAAAAAATAAAAATAAAAATAAAATTGTATAACACTAATTCCTCCTTCATCATTGCTGATATTATTTTTGTGATTTTGGGATCAAAGTTTTTAGACGGCCTTAATCTGTTTTTCGGTACCTCCATCTTCATGAATAGATCTGGTCAATCGCCGATATTGTGGTCCACTTAAGCATGAAAAATTGTGACAAATTTGGACATGCTACAAGTGACAAGACATTTCACCCTATGTACCTAAATAATATTCCTAAAGGACCATTCAGCTGACGACGACCAAGGATATTGTTGTCCACCTAAATTTAGCAGCGAGATCTACAAACAACCTATTAAATGTTCAATTTTAGATGTACTAGAACATGATTCCCGCTTCCTGATATATCCCAATAATCAAGGACTTCCAAAATACTCCTTACTTTAGATGAGCACACAATTATTATGGGAGATGTCAAATTTAGAATGCATATGTTGTACACCCAGGTCGGATCTCTTCCAATCACGCAGAGGGATTAACATATGACTAACCAAAGTTAGAGGGGTTGAGAAGTAGAATGGTGCATATGTTGTGTACTAGGTCGAATC